CATTTGAGGTTCACCTCACGGCTGCATCGCTCTTCCAGTACACCTCATGCATGAGTTCTGAATGATACCCTTTGCAAGTAATGCTGGGGCAGGTGCCCATCCCACTACCTTGGCGACATTCGCTGGGTCTCCCACAATCCCTCCCACCTCTGTCACGGGAGGCGGCACAAACACCTCAGCAAGTGTCACAGCGGTGACGCGTACCCCCCACCCCCTCATCCTGGGGACCCCCTCACCAGTGCCCGGGGAGCAGGAGACTGCAGCACCCCGTTACGGATTTTCAACTAAACAAATGGGTCCCCCGCGTCCTACCTTGTTCATGTCGAAGGTCCGGAACATCTGCTCGATGTAGGCGTTGGCCTCGGGGTCCAGCCCCCGCAGCCCGAAGAACTGCTTGAACTCGTGCAGGGTGAGCTGGCCGGAGGGGCACTCCGTCATGAACTTCTTGTACCAGTGGTGGATCTCCACCGCCTGCATGTCGTCCACCGTGGAGCCACTGGCGTTGCCCATCGTGCCCGAGCAGCAGCAGCCGAGAGAGAGAGAGCGAGAGAGAGGGGGGAACGGCAGCGGAGGGGTCCAGGCGGTGTGGGGTGGGTGCAGAGAGACCGGGAGGCCGAGAGCCTGAGTGGTCTACTGTGTGAGGAAACCTGACCTGTCGCTCAAGCTTCGCTGCTCACAGTCACACAACACAGACACTCTGGCGTTGCAGGGTGCTGAGGGGCCAGCCGACTGGACCCGGGGCTTTTAAAGCAGGCACTGACCCCCCCCGCCCCCCCCCCACCGAATCAGCCAGTCTAATCTGCAAGCATCCATTCTCACGAATTAAACGGCTTTGGGAATGTCAGGGAGAGTTTAAAATAGAACCACGTCAGGGATTGGAACAGCGTTGGAGGGGAACGGCAACAGAAAATAGGACTGGATAATCCCCTTTGCACACACTGAGACACACACACACAGAGAGAAAAACGCACAGAGATGTGCACAGAAACACACTGAGACACAGACACACACGGAGACATACACACACAATGAAACACATACACACACAAAAATGCAATGAGAAACATATACACAGATGTACAGAAACACAGACTGAGACACATACTGTACACACCAAGACTCATACATACACACAGACACACAAAAACACCTAGGCGCATAACCAGTGAGACACACAACACACACACACACACACACAAACACTTACACATACTTAGACACATGCACACACTGTAAATCAGGTACAGGTTGAGACACACACACAAACTCATATACAATGAGACACACACATGCACAAATGGTGACACTAAGAGAGACACACAATGAGAAACCTTTAACAAATCCACACACATGCACACACTGAGTCACATACAAAAACCCAGGCACACAAAAAGACAGCTATACAAACATACACACCTAGACATACCAAGCGACAATGAGTTAAAAGAGACATGCTCTGTGATTCAAACTGATTTAATTTATCCCCAAAAGGCACTACACTTTGCTTTCTGAAAAATTTGCAAGTCAAATTTGAGAAAGGCATCAGCCACATATTGCTACAGAAGTGCAAAGATCTCACACAGAGGCACAAATACACAAACTCTCAGGGCTGCTGTGCATGATATCACTACAGCAGCCCATTAGGGTTTTGTGGGATCAGTAGCTATTTAGAACAAGTAGAGGTATCATCCTTTATTTAGCCTTAGTAAAGGATCAGTCTTTAAATGCGCAAGAAAAAGTCCATTAATGAATAAAGTCCTCTTAATCTCATGTGTGCTTTAGCAGGCAGTGTCCCAGGGCCAGTGCACATTCTGGCACAGC